GTGAGTGTTGTTATAGAATTGTGATAGTTGTTGTTAGGGGACTGTAACCTTCCCGGGATGACGCCACACTCCAAAGTTGCCAGTTCTCTCAGCCGTTCCGGACAAGCAGAGGCAGGCAGTTTTTAACTAGAGGCTGTCCCTTCACCCAATCATAATAGCTCCCCTAAGTGCTTCAGTTCAGACAAATGTGTCTATTACAGCAGTACTTTTGGTTTGTTCTACGGAAAAACTTCACTTCACACTGAGGGTGAAATTACCGTATTTAGCTGCTGTAAAGCTCTTCGCCAAAACTGCACAGCTATTAGGTGATATAAAGTATTTTTCTAAAGGAGCTAGTAAAGCCACAAGTGGCACAGCTCCGAACTGTATTTAGTATTTTCACTTCATTAGCTTTAACTCCTGATGTTATTAGCAGCTGTAATATTTAGCATTGATTTCTTATAAGGAACTTTCAGGAGAAGCAACTCTTTTGTAAGACAGCTAGATTTTCTGAAGTTTGTTTCCCATCATCTATAAAGCAGTCATTTCTTTTTGAATGCCTGTTTCTTATCCCCTTAATTAGATTTGCAAAGGAATCACTCGTTGCAGGCTGTTTGTTCAAGAGGTAAATAATTTTTAATTTCACATAAGTTCCTTCATATCTTAGACAACGTTCAGTGTATAAACTGCTCTCTCTTGCTTTCTGAAGGATTTTAAAGTGGCTTGTTTGCTCTTAAAGGTAGCTTTTTGTCTTCCAACTACTGTAAAAACTTTGCACAGCTATTAGGGTAAATAAGGCATTTTACCAACGGAGCCCTAAACCGTGAAGCACCTAGTTCCATATCCTTTCAATTTTTCCAGTGGAACTGACACTTAAACTCTTAGAAGATTTTCCTCCTTATTCTTTTAAAGGCTGTATTTTAAGTTTACCAGGAACGTATTTTCGAGCTGACAAAAGTGTTTCAGGGCAATGTCGCCATCTTTAGCAGAAAAACTACCTTCCCCAGAATGCATTTCCCTTATATCAGTCCATAATAATATCAGTCCCTTATATCAGTCCTTTATATCATGTCCCTTATATCAGTCATTTCCCATAGTTCTTTTTGGGTCTGAGAGTCAACTGGTTCTCTTTTACCAGACTTGCTTACAAATTCTTGCCTGGGAGGTTTGAACAAAGTTTTTTGCTTTTGCAACGGGAGATTTGAACAAGCATTTTATATTTTCAGCTTTGGGACATTGGGAGGTTTCTAGTCTCTCAGCTGGCTTCAACAGGTGTCTCTCCTTCATTTGACACTGGCCCCCAAATCACCTGCCTCATTAGCCGGCATGGAGGTGGGCAATTTCTGATAGCAATTTTCCTCGGGGCTTGTGTTTGTTTTAGCCAGTCAGTGAAAAACAAGATCATTTACAACAGCTTTTCCATAGCTCCTTCAGAAGAGATTTTGTCCCACTGATTTTATTCTCATTGTTCCTTACCCTCCAGATGCAGAGCTTCAGGTATCTGTCTGCAGCTCTGTACCTCTGCTAGCTGCCTTTGGAAGTAGGGACTTCCCCCCCGCCCCCCCCCCCCCAAAAAAAAAATCTACCTCAAATTCTAGCAGCTTTTTCAGGTCATATTTTTCTGGGGAGGATTATGTCCCTTCTCTGTTTCTTCAGAGTCTTTCTCCCAGACAGTTCCCAGTTTGGTCTCAATTTATCCCCTCTACCCCAGAAACAGTTCCTTGCTACTGAAGGTAGGGGCTTTTTGTCCGTTTCTGTTTTCAGGGTCTGTGTGGTTTGCGTACAGACTGAAAATCTAACAAGGGAGGTTTTTGCCATTTCTAAACTCCCATTAGGACAGGTGTTTTGCCTCATCAGGCCTTCACCTGGCCCAGTCCCCCAGTGGGTTGCATTTGCTTGTCTGGGTGCTCAAGGACAGAGCTTATGCCAGAGGCAATCACCCCTTAGGGCCACAGCATCTCACAGGAGTCAGTTGAAACAAAGCTTTTCTCAAAGAGGTGCTTTCTCTGATAGAAAAGAAAGCTTTACTCCTGGATAGTTCTGTTCTGCCCTGGCTGGGCTCTTTCCCCAGACAGTGTTCTGACTCTGCAGCACAACTGCTTCAGACACAGTTCAGCTTTACTGTTTTCCCAGAAAGGTCCTTACTCTGATAGGAAAGCTTTTTCTCAGATTTCTTTTTGCAGCTGTGGACCTATAAACCCGGGACTTGTAGGAAAGCGGGCAACTGTGCTGTTCCCACGGGCTTTAGTTTTGTTTGTTCATTAGCAATCTTCCCCTGGGTCCTGCACCTTCCTGCCTCAGCTCTGTGCTCCAGGAAGTTTACAACTGCAGGAACCCTAGTATCCCCGAAATGCACCCCAACTCAGAGGCTGGCCAGTGGCCTCTGGGTTTTTGGTCAGAAGCGAGGATACAATGCTTCAGGGGATCTTTGCATTAGGACGATTAGGAGCACCCTTTCATTCTGAAATGTTCACTCAAACAAAACCCTTGATGCCTCAGCTATGCTGTAACTGAAAAGCTTGGCTTTTGCTTTTCTCAGGTAAAGTTTCCTGCCCTTTTGGGCTCTCCATAGCTCTTTACCCACATTCTCCCAAGCATTTCCCTCAGGGTACTCTGACCCACTGTCTTTTACTGGTTTGAAGAGACAGAGCTTAGAAGAGAGGTTTTTAGGAACTTGTCCCTGCCTCCTGCATTGCAGGGAGGATTTTTAAAGCTTGAAAGAGAACTTAGGTTTTGCTGTTTTAAGAGGTTTGTTGTTTTCCCTTTGAGCTAATCACAGGTGGTCCCCATACTAATATCTTCAGGTGATTCTAATTTTTGTCCTTTTGAGAAAGTTAAAGGCTTTAGTTTTTAAGTTTAAGAGAGCTTTTGAGAAAGATTAAAGCTTTTTAGAGAGATTTTCCCCCCAATTTTTCCAAGAAAAGCTTTTAGTTTAAGAGAAAGATTTTTTTTCCCCAAGAGAGAAAGACCAACTTTTCCCAAAACTTCCCAACTTTAAACTTTGACTTCTTATACCCCCATTTTTGCCTCAGGGAGAAATCACTTCCTCCTGCCGCTTGGACTTTGCATTTCAGCTGTCCCCAGGTCAAAAACTTCCATAGGAAACTTTTTCTTCCCCATAAGCTCAGAGAAGAGCTTTTTTACTACCCGTAAAGCCCAAAGAAAGATTTTTTTTCCCAGTTTGCATTCATAACCCCCAAAGTTAGAAAATTGAAGAGTTTTTCTGTCTAGTTGCCTTACATATTTTTTCCTACACAATCTTACACTTCTAAGTTTTTCCTAAACTATATTACTACCCTATACCTTATACTTATTTTTCACAGATAGAAATTGAGAAAGGGATAGAAGATAGAAAATTTTGACAGAAGAGAATTTCGCTGCAGCATCAGACATCCTTCCAGTCTGCTTTCCTTTTCTCTCGAGGATAAAACCCCTGCCTCTCAATAATATATATAAAATATATATTTTCCATAACACCGGCATGCCTTATCCACTGGCAGGGCTGACTCAGCACTTTTGCCAAAAACTCTGTAATAAAACTATTATTTTCCTTTATCTTTAGTCCGTATTACTTTGTCTTTAGTCTCTGCTCATTTGTCTTTAGTCCCCCCTTTTTTTTCTTTAGTCCCTTTTTTCTTTTTTCTTTAGTCCCTGTTTGGGCGTCATTCTGTGGGGCGTTTACCCACCACTCCCACAGTTCCCCAGAGTTTTCTTGAGTGTGAGCAGCAGGAAATATTAGATAGAAGGATTTGTTGTGGAGAATCTTGCGGAGATAAACAGAAAATAAAGGATAGCCTCGAGAGGGCCTGGAACCTTTTCCAACGGGCCCCGACTATCTCCGCCCCAGGGTTTTTATAGAGACGCCAAGGGGTGGAGCAAAAGACCTCCTCCCCCAGCACAGCCAAGTGCAGACCATCTCAGACACCTGCACTCAGGCCCGTGGTCCTAATCATCCTCTATGCGGACCTGCTGGGTGAAGCCACAAGGAACCTGAGAACGGGCTCCCACATAGATGGCTATGTAGAAATGAGCATCAGCTACCTATTAGTGTCACCGCCCATAGAAAAGCAGATGGTAGTCTGCTTCCTGAATCTCTTTCACCTGCATATGTACCCCTCCTAAGCATAGACTACTACTGGGTCTTTACAGTTATACAAAGGACAGAAAATCTGGCAGTTGGCCTTCACAGCTAACTTTAATTCCCTTGACCAGGAAACATATCAATAAAGATGAGAGTTGGGTTTTATACTTGCATTTCATCTATGCAATCATTCATTTGGGATGTGGTGCTGAGAGATGAGCAGAGATGTCTACTCAAGGCAGCTTTGATATCCCATTGTCCTCCCATATAGGACTCTTCCAGACACCATCCCCATTTCCATGAATAAACAAAATCTCCACAACGGAGACATAGTGACCTCAGAGTCCCAGGCCTTTGGGAGCAGTAGGCTTAAGCAGTAGCAGCAGAAACCTCTTAATTTCCCCACAGGGAGAAGAGAACTGATGGTGCATAAAACAGGAGTCAAGCACTTGGAAGTTGAGTTTCAGCTACTGCTTTGACTTAACAAGGCATTTTCTGAAATCTAAGGAAAGAATTAATGCCTTATCTCTGGCTACATGCAGGGTATTTCTTACCAACAGCAATTGTTTGATTTGCCTGTCAATTGCTGTCAACCATGACCTGAAAGATCACCCAGTAAAATTTTTCTTGAACTGCAGGGACAGCTAAGAGAGCTAGACAAAACTGTGCATTGCAATTGCAGGCATGTTCTAGAACCTAGGAACAGTCTAGTAGGCCTCCAAAGCTTTCACTATGGCAAAAGGCCATCATGCAGCCACTACAGATGGATGGCAGGTGTTTTTTTTTCCCCCCTTTGTATACCCTCTACTGCTGCATGAAGAGACTCAGTGAAGGATGCTCACCCTACCTGCCTACTTTACTTGCCTGTGGCAGCCAGAGGATGTTCTTGGCATAGGGTGAGAATAATTTCAGTTTCCCCATAAAGTGAAATACACACATACACGTGTAAAATGAACAACTTTATTGAGCAACTACAGGAGCAAAAATAGTGGATTTAACCACATTTTTAACAAACCAGGCAAAAAATGCTACACTCTGTTCCCCCTTTCTCCTGAAACAGAACAGGCTTGCTAGAGGCCTGTGCCAGGGGTAGGATCAGGGTCATATTAGAATTCAATTACATGTGACTGAAGCCACTGATCAGGTGACCATGAAAATCCATTGCACCTCCTGATCAGGAAGATCAATGCTCCCTTTACTTCCATTGTGAATCATTTGATTTAGACTAAAGGTTATTGTTCCTGTATGATGGGTTTTGGGCTGGCTATACCAACAGAACCTGGAGAAACTGCTGACAGGTGATGACATCTAAGTACCAATATGTCTAATTTTTCTTGGAGGTGGGCAGACCTCTCTGGACTCAGACAGAAGTCCCTGGCTATTCTGACTTGCCTTGGCAACCTTCTCCTGTGCCCTGGTCTCAAGGGGTCACTTCTTGGGATTTTAAGCTTATTTTCCCACCTCCATATTGAAAAAGCACAGACCTTTACTCACTTGTGGAAGCTGTGCTAGCAGGAGCAGCTACTACACAAGAGAAGGAACTCCAGGGTGTTGGTGGTCATAGTAAGTGAAGGTGGGGCATCTGTCTAGGCCAAAGCATTTGAGCCATCTGCTTCTACCGTGGCTTAACCCATCTATCTCCAGCACAAGCTTGTAAAAAAATACTTTAACAGAGAATATGCTGTACAGAAGTAGGATTTGACACTGTATATTACAATGCTAAAATAGCTGTATAAATACTATACAGGCATGGAATCATGCCATTGGGAAGGGCTCACTGGTGAAGCCCTGCAAACCTGCTGTCATCCTGCCTAAAGCGAAATTTCTGTACAGCAGGTACAGGGAAAGCAAGGCTGGACTGTATCTGAACACAACAGGTGTATAAAGACTTAGTTACAGTCCCTACTGGCTACCTATAGCAGCACAGTTGAGCCACAAATGGAAGTGGTCCCATAAGAACCACATCTTTCAATACTTTGATGGAATTTAGCACTAGAAAATTTGCCAAGACCACAGATGTGCCTTCTGCAGGTCTAGGCAGCAGTCATCCTTAGGTGGGTACCACAGAAATGAGAATACACTTCAGGTACCCATACAGAAAGAAGTGGATTCTCTGATGTGTCACTGGCATCCATATTGATAGACACCTTAGTTCCTGCCACCTATGTTCTGTTATGAGTGGCTGGTTGGCACTCGATGAAAATGAGGCTTCAGATGGAGGTCCACAGTTCCAGGCCTGGGTCAGGGGCAAGGGAAGTAGGAGTGTGCGTTCCAGTGCATTCATACTCCAGCCCCAGAGGTGCGCTTTAGTCTGGCATTTCAATATTCAATTTGGGTGGAGGGAGGACATACTTGCCAGGGCTCTGGGTGATGACTACCCTGGCCTTCTTGCGAAACATAGGTGCAATTTTAGGAGGTTCTGGAATGGGAGTTTCTTCTGTTTCCTCATTATCTTCATGGTGGAGATCATATGAAATGTTTCCATACTCTCTCAAAAATGGGAATATTTCAAGCAGAAACTGGCAGAAATCTTTGCGAATACCAAACCACCCTGAAAAATAAGAAATTTTCCTTTCAAACACTAGGTTTTCATGTCACATTTCTTTCATGAACAATGAGTTTTACTGGTACTATGTATCACTTCACTCAGTTTCCTCAGAAGTGAAGGCTAGCCAGGATCTAATTGCCCAATAAGCAGAGGATTGTAGACCTCCAGCTCCAAAGTTCTCAGAGTGGGCCCCCAGGCCAGTGGTGGCAGCATGCCCAGGTCCCTGTTGGGAAGTGACTCTCCAGCCTCCAATTCGAGCTCATGGTTGAAAACTGGTGAGGTAGGCTAAAGAGTACAGCTTTACTTAGCCAACTATTATTTCAGATGGAAGCTGGAGTTGCAGAGCCACTGACTATGATAGCAATTCTCAAACACTGGTAAAACCTAGACCATGCCACCTTCATCCAATCTTCTAGATCCAGGTTAAACTATTTGGTGGACAGAGTGATATTTAAGCAAAGTATTCCTATAATCATCTGAAATCTGAGTAGACATAAGAAGGAATTGGCCAGAGTGGAGTCTGAGTTTATGGGAACCCCTCAAACAAGGTCACTGGGGTGTGCTCTCCCTATTTTATAGGTGACTGTCAGCCTGGTGTTGGCTCTCCCAGAATACAAATAGCAGCCCAGCCTCCACTACAGTTTAGGCTTTTCCCTTCTAAGGCTGCTCAGATGGGCAGTTCTCTGGGTTACATATAGTAGAGCTCACAGCATTATGAGGATGGTACCCTACTCAAAGACCACCTCCAAAGTGCATGCCATAGTATATTAGTTAAGACATAGTAGTCTAGCTCCATGAAATGGAAAAGATTCTATTGCATTGAGAGATGGGTAGAAATGGACCTGGGATGACTCTTGTCATTTTGTTGGGAAATGTGGGTTTTTCATGGATCCAGAAAGGATCTAGAGCCCATTTTTAAGGAGGATAGAATGGGAACTCAAAAAGACACCTGCCATGTTTGGTCCTACCTCTACTTGTCTACTTGTATTGTGCACTGGAAATGAGGTATAATACAGACTAGCATCCCAAAGCAAATGTGAAAGCATGCCCTTCCTGTGGAGCACCACTCTCCTTCCTCATCTTTGAAGTACCCATAACAACTTCTAAACCGGGGTCCTAAGATTCATCCTTTCATAAAGCATAGCACAGGCACAGACCTCCCCCGCCCAACACACACACAGTTTCTTAGTCTGTGGACATACAGTGGTTTCCTCCTTTCTGTCCAAATGTTGTTGCCATCAGTGTGATCAATGAGAGCCACAGGGGAACAAATATTGGAATACAGGAGAAAGCATTGTGTCCATCCAGTTTGTGAACCAGCAGGATCTAGAAAAAGACAAAGTCAAGATGGTATTGATGTGTCACCAGAAAATGGACCAAGTCTGCAGATGTCTCTGTTATAACCCTTCCCTATGTCACACATGTCATGTCTGGGAAGAGGGAAGGCCACTATAGGTAACAGTAACAAACCATTTATCCAGGGAGAAAAGACCATGGGAGATTTTGCATCCTTCCCTAGAGCCAAACAAAAGTCCATCCAGCTGAAAGATTCCCACTGCCAGGAGTTTTATGAGAAACTCCTCCCAGGGTTTGTTCAAAGGAGTAAATAGTATCTTGGGGACCAGGCGGGACAAAGAAAAGCCTCTGATTACAGTATCTAGTCTAGAATTCCCCACCAAACTCAATACAAAACCAGGATATCCAACACTTTTAGAAAGCAGAAGGTGGACATGGGCAGATGCCTTGTAGCTACAGAGTTGTACTGCTGGCTATGAGTTCTGCAAACACATTCTCACTGTCTTAAATTCCCTCTGGAATTTTTGTCTCCCACAAGGATAGCAGTATACATACCTACCTAGCTATGCCAGATACGTCCCAGATAAGGGTGGGGTGTGGTAGCACAAGAGGTTTCCTGTTGAAAGCTTACCTCAAAAGTAAGAAGAGGCACGACAATGGTCATCCAGCTCAGTGCCATGGTTATATGTGTCCTGCGTTGTTCTGCAATCACATCCATAGAGCGCAGGAATAGAACAGACCAAACGATGTAATAGAGGACCACCAGGCACAAGAAGGACATGAGGATCCACAGAGGAACACACACAACCTGCAGAGGAATAGAAACACAGTGTCTTCAGAGCTTCCCTGTGTCCTCTGGTGGCTACCATTATCATTTTTCTGGCTGTGTTCAGGTATTCAAGGGGAAGCATGGCTACAGATAGTCCTCCTGCCCAGGACTACCATAGAGATAGCATGGGAAACATTATATTCACCATGAGATTCTATCCAGGAAATGCTGTCCTTAGGCCCGCTTCCCTTTAGGTGACAAACTTCCATATTTTAAGTTTGTTTTTTTTTTTTAACACACTCCCTCACTCTCAAGTCACCCATTTCATTGTTCGCTCACTCCCATGCTTCCTCACTCTCAGTCACTCCCACACTCCTTCACTCTCAGTCACTTATTCCCAGATTCAGTCTCTTGCTCTCTAACTCAGTCACTAACATGTTCACTATTATACATATACTCTCAATCACTTATTCAATCATGCATGCACACCTGGTCATCCCCTCATTCCCACAGTCATTCACTCTATCATGTTCATTCATAGTTTCTCACTGTCCCTCATATACCCACTGCCACTCCATTCATTTTCCCTCATTCTTGGACATTCATATAATTATCTCTCCCACTCCTACTCATTCTCACTCATACACATGTTCCATAACATCAGAATCATTTCTTCCTCCACTGTCTTGGCCACTCTGTCTCTTCCTCACTACTTATTCTCACTCATTTACACTCCCTTGCTTTCAGTCACTTTCTCACTCAGTTCTTCATACTTACTCTCATTTACATCCCCACTTCTTCCCATCACTCATTCACATATTCCTTTACTCAAATAATCCCTCATACTCACTCAGTCTCTCTCTGTCTAGCTATTCAACATAAGAATTCTCCCTCACTGTTATATTCTCATTCTGCCAAAGTTTCATTCACACTTTCTCACACATCTCCACTCTCACATTCACTTGCAGACTTTCTCCTTCAGTCTCATTCTTGCTCACTTCTTCACTATTATTCTCACTTGGAGTTATTCAACAATACAGCCACTCACTACATCAATCACCTATGTGTATGTGTATGGGGTGTGTGTGTGCACATGAGTAAGTCCTTATTTTTTAATCAAGTCTTTTGTATATATTAGTCAGAAGTCAAAGTTTTGACATGTACTTGCAAAACCTTTTCCTCAGCCAGTAATCTGTCTTTTCCTTTATTTTATTTTACAAAGTCTAAATTTATAATTTTGTCTTATAGATCATATTATTGGTGCCATTTATAAAGAATGCTTCACTTAATTACAGGCTTTAAAGATTTTTCCTACCTTTTCCTCTAAGAGTGCTAAAATTTTGACATCTTATCTTACACCTGTGATTTGCATTGTTCCATGACTTTTAGGCCTCTTGAGTAGCTTAAAGTTCTTGATTACAAGTTTTGCCACAAAGTTGTCAATGTATAGCTTCCAATAGCTCTTCTAAAGCACATCTGTGATGGCATTAATTTATTGATACTCCTTTCATGAGTAGAAGAATAGTGATTTTAACAGCTTCTTTTGTTCTCACCAATTATAAGATATATGTAGTCAGACTGCTTCATCCATTTGGCTCTGTACAGGGTTAAGGGTCAGGATCCCTCTACTTAATGTGGAATTCAAGATTTCTTTTTTCCCAGCATACACAAATGGATGGACACACATGCACCGCCCCCCCAAATATGCATTAAGCATCAAAGAAAACACAATCCATCCAAAATTTAAAACACTGGTATAACCCCTTGAGATACAGTCTCATGTAGCACAGGCTGGCCCTGAACTTGCATGTAGCCAAGGCTGACCTTGAACTTCTGATCCTCCTGTCTACACTTCCCAAGTGTTAGTATTATAAACATGTACCACCTGGCCTGGCTTATTCAGTAATGGGAATTGAACCCAGGGCTTTGTGCATGTTAGGCAAACATTCTACCAACTGAGCTAAGGAAGAGGTCTAAAGGAAAGGACAAAAGAGAGTAAAACATGGTAAAAGAAAGACAAATATATGTTTTCTCTTATATGTGGAATTAGATTTAAACATGTATATATGACATGAAAGTATAAGGTATCTGTTTGGAGAGGATAAAGAGCTAGCAGGATGGGGGAACAAGAGAGGTTAATGGGGACAAATTTAGGCAAGCAATAATGAATGCTATTCATGTGAAAATGTCAAAATTAACCCCATTATTTTGCAACTACACATAAATATAGGAAATAAATCTGTTAAAAAGTCTCAATCTTGGGGCTAGAGAGATGGTTCAGTGGATTAGAGTGCTTGCTGGACTTACAGAGGATCTGGGTTCAATTCCCGATACCCACATGGTGCCTCACAACCATCTGTAGCTCCAGTCCCAGGGAATCTTATGCCCTCTCTTCTGGCTTCCTTGGCCACTAAAGGTATATATTACACTGACATACATTCAGGGAAATACTCATATACATAAAAATAATAAAATCTTAAAAAAATCTTTAAAAAGTTTCCGTTTTATAACTCAGTAATACTTTTTCTAGAATACTTTCAAAGAAAACAAGAAAATATTAAACAAGGATTTTTATACCCCAAAACACACCAGAGGTTTGAGATAAAAAAAATTCTTGTAGTGTTTATAGAACAGCAGGATAATTATGATTGATAATAATTAAATGGTTCAAAATAGCTAAAAGAGAATAGCATTTTGAACATTCCTTGCACAAATAAATGACAAACGTCTGAGGTAATAGATATGGTAATAAAGCTGATTTAATTATTACATATTATAAATACACAATGAAAAGTCTGACTGTTCCCCATAAACAAATATAACTAGGATGCCAGTTAGAAATTCTGAAAACTTAAGAATATGTATACATGGGAACATTTTGAAATTACAAATACTAGTGGCAACAGAAACATCTAGAAACAAGATGTTTCATAAATGCAACTTTTATGAATCAATAAAGAATGTTATATTTACAATGGTATTTATTGATCTGAGCTAATGTTTATACTATATTAAAACAAAAGAGCAGGATACAAAATCTTACACACAGAGGAGCCTCAACAGCTTGTGTATAAGGGAACAAAACCCACTATGTTAGCTCCCAGTGTTGGTACTATCATTAGGCTGCTGTTCATGCTTGCTTGGTTTTCATAAGCCTCCTGCAATAAATATAAATTACTTTTATAATAAAATGTTTGTTTAAGGATTTAAAAAGCTACATACAAGCCAGGGCCAGTGGATGATCTTGTCCAGTCTTAAGGCAATGAATATAAACTGGAGAATGTTGACCGAACACAGGATTTCTAGCTAAAAATGAAGAAAAGAACCAGTTAAACAAGTTGCATTTAACATAGTGGTTATTTGTTTAACACACTAGTAGGCAATGCAAATTATAATATGGTAAAATGTTAACACTACTGTACTGCTTCTGGTTTTTTGTTTTTTGTTTTTTTGTTTTTTTGCCAACAGAAAAACACAGTAGTATCATGCTTAGGGGAATTGTGCACAAGTCTTTTGTCTCATCCTTATGGTCAGCTGGTGCCTTGGCCATTTCGTTGTTCAAGATCTGAGTGCTGTTGGCCAGACAGTGACCTTTTTTGAAAAAAGAAAGAAAAAATAGGTAATCTGCAGTAGATTTCCTCCAAGCCTCCTTTCTGCTCCTACTGGCAATCATCTATACTTATTATCACCCTCAAACTTCTTTTTACTTCTACCCAGGACTCTGCCCTAAATCCCATGCCTTCTTTTCCAATTCCTTGAGGACCGTCTCACCTCAATCCAACTCTTATAGATTTGGTGTTGCATTGGTTTCTGACTATGCTACTGACCTTTCCCAGTAAGAAACTAGTTGCCTGTGGTAGTTTGAATGCAATTGGTCCCATAATCTCATAGGGAGTGGCTCTACTGGGAGGTGTGGATTTGTTGGAGTGGGTATGTCCTTGTTGGAGGAAGTGTGTCACTATGGGGGAAGGCTTTGAAGTTTCTTATGCTCAGGATACCACCCAGTATCTCAGTCAACTTCCTGTTGCCTGCAAGATGCAGGACTCTCAGCTACTACTCCAGCATCCATGTCTGCCTACATGCTGCCATACTCCTTGCCATGATGATAATGGACTGAACCCAAAAACTGTAAGCCAGCCCCACTTAAATGTTTTTCTTGTAAGAGTTGACGTGGTTATGGTGTCTCTTCACAGCAGTAGAAACTCTAAGATATTGCCCATTTCTAATTAAACCCAAAATGTCCACATACAAGTAAGTTCACCTTTCTTGTAATTCAGCACCCCTACCCTAACCCCCTTTTCTGCTTCAGTGCAGCTCTGTGTGACAGGAATGGCTACATGAGGCCCTATTGTCTCATCTTAGATTCCAAGCTACTGACAACTCTCATCCCTCAAAGAAACTGCCTTCACAAAGGCCCTCAGTACCAATAGGTAGAATATTTGTATCCGCATCTTACTGGGATATTTGAAGAATGGTTTATGGTTGGCCAATCCTTCTTTCTTGTACTACTATCTGAGCTTCAAGAATCCTACTGTACAGTCTTGATATCCTGTGAGTACTCAGAGATTTCTTCTTAGACTCCCTTTCCATTCCTTACATGGCTACATTTCTAGTACCCCAAACTAGATCCCTACTAGTGAATCACACATAAACACTCATTCACACCACCTGGGGTGGGGAAAAGTTTAAGCAACACTGCAGCTTACCATATTGCCTAGTGACTGGTTCTGAAATCTGCCTGCAAGTTAGCCTTAATTCTGTACAACAGGTCCAGTGTGCAGGTGCCACATGACTCTCCTAAAAGCACTGTTGTGGGATGGTCTTTCTGTATGTTGTGAATATGTGTTGCTACCATTGGTTAATAAAGAAGCTGCTATGGCCTATGGCAAGACAGGTTATAGCTAGGCAGGAAATCCAAGCAAGGATATAGGGAGGAGAAAGGTGGGGTCAGAGGAGAAGCTGCAAGCTGCAGCCAGGAGAAGCAAGTTATAGAAGTACCAGTAAGTCACTGGCCACGTGGCGATATATAAATTCATAGAAATGGGTTAACTTAAGATGCAAGTGCTAGCAAGTAAGAAGCCTGAGCCACAGATCAAACAGTTTGTAATTAATATAAACCTCTGAGTGATTATTTTATAAGTGGCTGCAGGACCACAGGTAGGAGAGATTTGCTAGGACCACAGGGCAAGGCAGGACCAGAGAAACTTCCATCTACAAAGCACCTGCCATTAAACTGAGCTCACTGTCTCCTGAACCCTGTCCCTCCCTTTTTCATCACTGTAAGACAACACAGTAGCCAGTTGTGGTGTACACATTCTCATATTTAATCATCACATTCTGCCCATTCTCCCAGCCAACCTTCTGATGAAGGCCTTACTTACTCTGTATTTACATTATGACTTTCTAAATCCGGCCCATTTTTTTTTCACCAACTCTCCAAAAACCAATTCCATAGCTCTAGTCCCTTGATGATGGATGACCCTTTGCACTCAAAGGTCCCCAGGCTGCTTTCTTCTGGTAACAGATTTCGCCCTTGTCTATAAACATATTTTTAATCTAGAGAGTTCTCTACCAGCTCTTCACCCACATCTTCCAATAATACCACCTTTTAGTCATAACAACTGCTAAAAATTCTGCTTTTATATTGTTGCACCAATACAGGTAATACAGTGGAAGATAAGGGGAAAAAACTACAAACTAGGAGTTTTTCAATTTCAATTTCAAGCTAGGAGTGTGCATGGTACAGGTATCAGTCAGTTTTCCTGGTGCACTGAGTTCACTAGGATGATGAGAGCACCTCAGTGCATGTTTATAAGAAATTATTTACTGTGTGCATGTGTGTGTGTGTGTGTGTGTGTGTGTGTGTGTGTGTGTGTGTGTATGTATGTATGTATGCAAGAGGACTCACTCACATGGTACATATGGAGTCCAGAGGTTGACATTGGATATCTTCCTCAGTTACTTAACTTCTCCATCCAATTCATTTATTTACTTATTTATTTGGAGACAGGGTCTCACTGTGTTGCCCTGGCTGGCCTGGAACTCACTATGTAGAACAGGTTGGCCTCAGAGATCTATCTGTTCTCTGCCTCCTGAGTACCAGGATTAAAGGTGTGTGCCACCATATCAGGCTCCTACTTTATTTTGTGAGACAGGGTCTCTTATAAAACCTGTAAGCTAACCTATTGCCTAGATTAGTTAGACAGCAAGGCCCTCAGGAGCTGCCTATTTCTGCCTCCTTGCACTGGGATTCCAGGCATATGCCTCTAGGTCTGGCTTTTGCATGGATTCTAGGGATCTGTAGTGGTTTTGAATAAGAAGGCCCCTATAGGCTTATATATTTGAATGTTTAGTCACCAAGGAGTGGAACTGTTTCAAAGGATTACAAGGATTGGGAGGTATGGCCTTGTTGGAGGAAGTATATTACTGGATGGGGGTGGGATTTGCGGGATTTGGGTTTTTTTTGTTTGGTTTTTTATTTTGTTTTGTTTTTTTTGGCCAGGCCCATTCCATCTGTCTGTCTGTCTCCCCGCACACTTCTGGATCTGGAAAGTTCTCAGCTCCTTCTCCACACCACACCTGCATGCATGTCACCATATTCTTCACCATGATGATCTGAACTGTGAGTCCCTAATTAAATGCTTTACTTTGTAAGAGTTGTCTTGGTCATAGTGTCTCTTCACAGCAATGGAACACTTAGACAGCATGTGAACTCAGGTCCTTAATCTTTCCCAGCAAGCACTTAATCAGTGAGTCATCGCTCAGCAGTGCATAGTTTGAGAGATGAAGATGTAGTCCCGGTTCAGGCTATCTTTGTGCAAAGTCTCCCATTCCCTAGCTTCTATATTTCTCTCCTGTTTCTAGTCTAGGAACATCTTGGCTACTCTGGGGTCGACTTGGTTGACCAGTTTCTCTCACCTCTATTCCTTAGTATGCCTGGAATAAGCTCCCTTCTACTCTCTCAAAATGGAGCCCACTGGCAGGTCCTAGGTTCTCCTTTATATCTCTATGAAAACCTCTCTCCTCATTTTCCATAGCTTTCCTTGACAGATATTCCACATTCTTGGTATATCTAACATCTTGGGGTCTCCACTGAATTTTGGCTTCCCTCTCATAGCTTTGCACATTGTCCTACCAGGGGCTGTTTGCTGGGATTCTGAAACTGGCACATATCACCAGGCACCACAGGCTTTTTTTTTTTTTGAAATATGAGTAGAATCCTTTGTGACTTGGTAACTCCTGCATTCTGCCTTCAAAATTAGCAATATGTGGATGACACCAAGGTCTACCACTGCTCACACCATGGCTACAGCAGCCACTAAATGCCTGGATGGAAAAAAAAAAGAAAAAGAAAAAGAAAGAAAAATCTTTCAAATGAGTTTGTAATTTTATACCACTGAAACTGTAATTCCTACAAAGCCCTCAACTTCACATGGTCTTTTACACCCATAGTAGTTTGAATGAGAAATGCCCCTTACAGTCTCACACATTTGAACATTTGGTCCCCAGTTTATGGTACTATCTTAGTAAGTTTAGGAGGTATAGCCCTGCTGGAGGGAGGATGTCACTGGGGATAAGATCTGAGATTAAAAGCCTCCTGCTTCTTCTAATTTTCTCTCTATGCTTCATGACTGAAATTGAGCATGTGACATCTCAGCTTCCTGCTCTTGCCATCACGCCTCCTGTCTCTGTCATCATGGATTCTTATCCATCTAAACATGCCACCATCCTCCCCACCATGATGATAATGGACTAACCTCTGAACTGTAAGTGAGTCCCTAATTAAATGCTTTCCTTTATAAACTCGTCTATGAGTTGCCTTGGTCAGGGTGCTATCATAGCAACAGAAAAATAACTAGTACAAAACCCTAACTGTAGGGTTTTTTCAACCCTTTTTGTTCTGCCTTTTGCTCTCAATTCTCACTGTAAATATCACTAAAAGCTGCCAGCAATATCTATTCTAAAGACTGAATGATGAAAGTTCTTCTGGAAGGTTAATTACTTCGTCACATTTTAATCTTTTTTTTAAACTGTCTCTCTGAGGTATTTTGGTCACTGAGGTGCAAAAGCTAACATACAGTGGTCAGTGGTCTGAAAAGATAAATTACTGAAAGGAACCTACTGTACTGGGCCCCAGGCACTTGTGCCAGGTCCTGGAGAATGTGGAGTAGGGCTGAGTAAGTATAGATTAAGTAAGGACTAAGGCATTGGAAACAGAGTAGTATGGAAGAGCTGCTTTGTAAATAGAAAGGAAAAACATGACAACTTCCTTTTTCAGATGCGAGAGAGAGAGACAGAGACAGAGAGACAGAGACAGAGAGAGAGAGAGACAGAGAGAGACATAGAGACAGAAAGAGAGGGCACAAAGTGCAAAGTTTCTGGGATAAGTGTGACCAACTTCCAGAACAAATGCTGAGGAGACAGGCCTGCAAAGAGAGAAGATGGAGAACATGAAGGTTTTTAAAAAGGGCAAAGCCTCAAATATCTCTGGGAAATTAGAGGTCATATGCACAAACAGATGGTACTAGACTGCACCACTTAGATCTATTGCTTCCCTATTGACTCCCCAACTCTAAGAACCACTGTTACATTTGTTTCCTAGGTGTACCTCTCATGAAATTTTAGTGCTGTATATATTTTGTAGATAATATACTGTGTGCATACCTGTGTTTTACCCATAATGAGAACACAGCTTTCTCCATTCCTAACCACAAATCAATATTTACTCTCTGAGGTCGAGAATGTGCTAGCCCTGTTAAGCCAATATCTGGCTGAAGCTGCAGACCATAAACCTATGATGGTTTTATCCATCAGTCAGGTGACTTTTTTCAGTAGTCTCTGGTAAGCAGCCAGAGGCAAGTAATACAAAAAAGAAGTGGTTGGGTTTACTGAAGGTTGTTAGGAACAACAGAGAATGTAAAAGTGGGCTGAGAAAGGTACTCTCCCACCACAGTGTACCTGTCTCTACCAGCCACACTCACTCCATGGATTTTCACCACTTCTATAATAGTAAGATCCCCATCCATCAAGACCAAGTCCTTCTTGATACTCTATGTACTGTTCCTGTGGCCTAGCTCTATCACTATTCCTCTCTCTTGGGACTTTTCTTTTAAACCTACACCTAGGTTCAGCTTCTAATCCTTTATGTTCCTTCCAGATGAGCTGCAGTCTCCTCTTTACCTGCACAGGTCAAAACAAGACATTTGCAGTCACACTCTGTACTTTATCTGTGGGGGATATGCTCTACAATTCCCTGTAGATGTCCAAAACTGCAGACAATACTAAACCTTTTATGTATTGTTTTATTCCAAATGTACACATACCTATGATAAAAGTTTAATCTATAAATTAGTAACAGTAAGAGGTTAACAACAATAATCACTAAACAGAACTCTAACAAAATACTATAATCAAGGTAGCATTTATGTGATCTTTTATCTTTCTCCCAAACATTTTATTTTATGATATTACATTTTCAGACCACAGCTAACTACAAGTAACTAAAACCATGGAAAAATGAAATATCAGATAAGAAGTGTGTATGTGTATGGGCAGGTTTCTATCACTTCCCATTGTCCTCTAAATCTGTTAGCACATTGCTTTGGGCCTCAGTTCCTTTGTAGTTAAATGCTCTGACTTTGGATTGGGCTGACTAAAATGGAATTCTGGCCCTTCTCCTTAATGTGTAGCCATGAATAAATTATCCTTCTCAGGAAAACAACTGCACCTCTCTCATAAGATTGTTGGAAACGTTTACTAAGTTGCTGCTATTTATGAGGTGACCATCCAAATGCTTGGCCCAGTCAGATTAAGAATATTATGCATATCATCTACAATTGTTTTCACTATTACTATTACCAGTCTTAGTATTGTAATTTAATTCTATATCTCCTCTTCTTGGGCCTAAAGGGCTTGCCTATATAGATACTTGAAAAAAATATTTGCTGAAAGAATAAATAACACATGGGCATATCAAGACAAGCCAATCAGATGACAGCTAAGGAGTGACATCATAGGGGATTAGGTAGTGAAAGAGTTAAATTTTATGTATTAATTCAGATGGACTATTATACTAGTTATTTAATTAAATACCAGGGTATGTGTTGCTGTGACAGCATCAAGTTTTTAAAGGCGATTATTCTCAATACTGTAGGGTAAGTGGCCCTTATCCACAGTTGGAGGCTTTAAATGCAAAGTCTAAGGTTTCCTGGAAAGGAAGAAAGTCAGCCTCTAATCTGGAGTGTCAACTCCTGCTGAGTCCCCAGCCTGTCTGTCTGTTCATATTTGCCAGCTCTGCAACCATGTGGATCCATTCCTTAAAATCTCTCTCTTTGTGTCTATATCTCTATCAGTCCTACTGGTTATTTCACAAGACTGACAGACACAGGTAGCTTATAAGACAGAAAGCTAGGAGAAAGCTGAAGACATTTGTTCCCTTATAAACCACAACCTAGAGTTAAGGATTAGTCTGTTTCTTACCTAGGGTAAGGGACTGACATTAGAGTAACTATTTTAAAAACATGATTAAATACACAGATCTCACCTCTAGTGACCTGTCATGCCGAAAGCCCCAGACACATGCTGCAACAGATACTGGGGAAACAAAGAACAATGGCATGAAGACCAGAAGCCAGAAATGGCTTCCTCTCTCAATCCTGTCACAGACCAGAACTTCAAACATCAGCAGGAGCAAATGGATTCCCACAGCAATCAACATGGCTTTAAATTCCACACATGTTTCTCCTTCTGCTCTAAAAGGGGATAGAAGGAGAAGAAAAGAAAGAAAAAACACAGTTCAGAATCCTGAGTACAAGGAAAAAGTCCATAGCAAATACCAACTCAATTCACATTCTGAATTTCAACTGTAAATATGAAAAAACACAAAGATGAAGTAGAGAGCTCTTAAACCTATCTTTAACAGAGAATCTTTCAAATATCCAGGAACACTTATGTTTATAACTTTAAACTCAACTATAAAAGTTACTTCCAAGATTATTCTATTAATTACTTCTGTTGTAAAAAACTTCTGGTATCTCAAGTCTCATGATCTTCACTTCTCATTGAATTAAAAACAATACAAATCACATTTCATACAATACTAGAAATATAACTTTAGCTTCACCTGCAAGGGTAGGTTACATTCAAGAAGATATGCCATTTTTCTTAGATGCTACTTTAAAATGCAAATAAAAAAGTAATAAAAGTCTTTCATTAATCTTTATTCCAGTATAATAATGAATTAAAACCTGCAAATTAAAGTTAAAGTTGTGCTCAAACAAAATAAGTTTAATTAGCTGTATAAACAAAAACTTTTAATAAATTAAAATTGAAAATGCTTATAATGCATTTGTAAAGGCCTAAAATTTTCATTCAAAATACAGATAACCATTCCTGACACACTTGCCCTATGGGTGATAAATATTCTAGAAATTAGGACAAAGAGAAAAAAACAGTCATAGGTAATTCCTGTAGGACTCACTAGCATACTGCTGATTAATGGTCACAGGGGAATGACTATACCTGTGTATAACATACATCTAGCCAGCTATAAACACAATTTCTTTCCTTACTTGAAAAGTATCAAAACAGAGAAAAGATGTGTATAACTTTTCAGTATCAATTAGTTAATTTGTTTTTGAGAAACAAATATTAGATATCTGAAATTTTGGTCATAAAAAAAAAGATAGATCTACAACTACGGATCGGGGCTGGACAGATGGTGCAGTGTTTAAGAGTGCTTGCAATTCTTCCAGAAGACTTAACTTCAGTTCTCAGCACTCAACACTGGGTGGCTCACAACCACCTATAACTCAGCCCCGGGAATCTATCATCCTTTTCTGGCCTCCACAGGTACCCTCACACACGGGGCACACATTTACACAGGCACATGATTAAAAATAAAAAATAGCTGAGCAGTGGTGTTACATGCTTTTAATCCCAGCATTTGGGAAGCAGAGGCAAGTGGATCTCTGTGAGTTCGAGGCCAGCCTGGTCTACAAAGTAAGTTCCAGGACAGCCAGGGCTACACCATGAAATTCTTCCTCAAAAAATAAAATCTTAAAAGATTATATTACAATCTCAAAACAAAACAAAAAAACATTTACACAAGCATGTCCTTCATTTGCTATGATTCTTAGTGTGTAGCCTTTTTAAAGTCCTACATACCTATGGGATATGCATTTTACACAGTCTAAACTACAGCTTTTTTTCTTTTTCCAGATAAGGTTTCTTTGTGTAGCCCTGGCTGTCCTGGAACTCACTCTATAGACCAGGCTGGCCTTGAACTCATAGAGATCCACCTGCCTCTGCCTCTTGAGTGCTGGGTCTGCCTCTCAAGTGCTGGGATTAAAGACATGCATCACTACTGCCTGTTTTTTTCCTATCTTATCTTAAAAGTTGATAATCAAGAATTTTTAAAGCTGAAGTGGCCCCATCTTCTATACTTTTTTCCTTAAACAGCTGTTTGTCTCTCTGTCTACCTTCCTCATTGTCCTATCAAGAACTACTGCATTCTTCATCTTCTTCATAGAGGTTTATAATGGCCCTCACTCTCCACTTCCTTCCCTTGCCTCCCTTTTCTCTGAGAAAGGAAAGGGAGAGATTCCCATAGAATCCAGCCACACCAGGCTACTTCCACTTCCATGACCCCCAAAGATCTGCCTTCTTTCATAACATCTGATTCTCAGTTTACCTCATTCCCTAGTTCCTATCTCAAGGACTCATGGCTTTTGGACCAAGCTCACTCCCTGACATCATTACCAGTTAACCTCAGGACTAGAAGAGTAGGAGAAAGGGAACCCTAGTTCTAAAAGTAAACTGGAGAAGTCATACAGAGTGTTTCCATGCTTCTTATTCTGCTATGGTATAGCATTTCTGTATTTGGGATGTCTGAGGTTACATCTGTGGGCTATCTAGGCACTAAACCACCTAAACTAACACACCGTTTTTATAAGAAAATTCATAACAAGCATCTAAGTTTTTAAAAAAAAAACTGATGAGAAACGTTTGCGAAGGGCAAGGGGGCATTTGTCAGAAGCATGTAGCTGCCTGACCCCATAGGGACAGGGAAGAATCATGTTAGCTGGGCTGGTCCACGTCAGCTTTTAGCAAGTCTGGAGCTCACAGTCGTCTGGAGCAGTGGAGTCAGTGACTGAAACTTGGAGGTGACTGCCAGCCAAGTGGAAATCTTTTGTGACAAATTTAAACTAGGAACAGAAGTTAAAATTTATGAACTTATTTGGAACCCTTAGGTCCATACCCTTAGTAATGGGAAAAGCAGTAGTCCCAAGACCAGGAGAGAGGAAAAATACCATCTTTAGGAATACTTATCTGGGGTCCTTTCGACCTCTGTGAAGTGGGTCTAGGTTTTTATGACTCTTTTGATCCTTTGAGGCCTACTTACAAAATGACATAAAAGTTTTATATACATTAGTATTACCAATCTGTACTGAAATCCATATTGTAGACAAAGCAGGTAATAGGTATCTTGTAAAACAGCAGAAGTGGACTCATACCTTTGAGTCCCAACAAGAACTACAGATTTGGGTTAAAAGCTTGTGCATTTTCCTTCTGTCCAGAAAGCCAGGTATAAATTGGACAGAGATTTTTGGCCTGATGAGAAGCACTTTTAGGTTTACATTTAAATATATTTAGATGACATCTAAAACAAATCCAAAATATTGAGCTTGTGACTGAACAGTAAGTAGTCATTGCTCTACCAGCTCATCAGGACTCCTAAATGTTAAGCTCTGAACCATAGAACAGGAGAATAATCTGAAACTTATCTCATTTTAGACTCATATCTGAATCTTTATAACTTATTTAAACTTTTATATCTTAGAACATTTTCCTAAAAGTGAGCTAACGAGCTAGCTATAGCCTTGCAGAAGGATCTGGTTGTCTGATGCTGCCACACTGACAAAGTTAGAGCTAGCCTAGCCATCAGTACTATCAGAAATCTGAGAAGGATAAACTATATCTGAGTGCAGACCAAGAAGCTTCCAATCCTATAAATTACAGGGACCAATCCCTACCCAGGTCTCCATAACGTTGGAGGCACCAGTCAGAACAGCATCAATCTTCTTCCACCATAAGGCCCATAAGGCAGAGTATTTTCCCTGTGGAATAGGGACACGGAAGACTGACCTTGACCAGGCAAAAGGGTGCAATCAATTTTAGTGTCCTACTACTTGTCCACAGTCTGGGCTGGGTCCTGGTGGCAGGCGTTGCACTGGGGCATCTTGCCCTGTGGTCAGCGTTGTCATATTTTAGGCAGAGACGTTGTGGTGCCTCATACAGAATCTTCTTCGGAGACCTTGGGTCACTGCTAGGATCTGGAAGCCTGTCTGATATAATAAGCTTTTAGATCAACATTTAAATGCCATATTCTGCAGATCTCTGAAGTATGAGGGCTGTCTAGGTATCTGAATAGACAAACTTTGTTTCTAGTTACTTGTTTCAAGCTCAACCCTGAAAACATATGCAAGGGACTGAGTAAATGAGTAAACTTATCCCTGTAATATCACATCAGTACTTACTTACCCTGACTACAATTAAAAAACAAAACTTGATTACTTATGACTGACTATGTTCTCTAGCAGCCTACAATAAGTAGCCTAAAAACAGTGCTTTTAAGTTGAAGCTCTTCTAGCATCAAATACAGGTTCAGTAAAGAAACCAAAACAAAATATCAATATACAACATTCTTAAGCCTGAACGTACCTTGGTTAAGAAGAAACATTTTTTTAAGCCATTGGTTTTTAACTATAAAAACTGTTCTTAAAAGATTAAGATCTCTCAAATGCCTTCTGTAATATCAACAATAAAGTATCTTCTACTTTAAGGGGGAGAAAACATGGCATCGTCATAATCTGTATACAGTAAAACCAAGCTCCAAAGTGCAAACAATCCCAAAGTTCAATATCTGGGATTTATTTATAACCCTTTTGGTTCTTTAAAATCATTATATAAAGTTTAGCTGCCAGAGCAAGGTATATTCCTGTGTATAAAAGCATTGGTGTGTAGCTTTAATATTAATCAAATATCTTATTTATTAAATGTATGTTGCCATTTATTTAAATTCTCTAGAAACTTGCTGTTGAATACTTGGTAAAGACATAAGTATTAGGTGTTAACCCGAGTAGATCTTTATAACCTTAGTAAAAGATGGCTGCCAGCCACATGGCTGCCCATGAGGTCACCAGCCAAGATGGAGGGAGCCACGTAGTTGCTGTTTAAAGCTTGTTTTTCTAAACAATAATTACTTGCACACATACACATAGTTAGATCCAAGTTACACACACATACATACGTACAGTTAAAGCTTGCTTACATTTTCAAGTCACATACCTGTATACATACACACATTAGCAGTTTGCAGAATCATTAGCCATTCTTAAGATGAAAACCAACAAGAATTAACTTTCAAATTCAGTATTTGCAGGAATAAGAAACCATAACAAACAGTTTACATCACATCCCCTCTGACTTTCTACAACCTTCCATGTACCCTCGGTCCGTTCCTTTGATCCTTCAGACATTTACTCTAGACAAATTCTGCTTTTTCTTTTCTTTTAAAACAGAAACTCTTACCAAAGTCTTTCTTGTGATTCCCCTCAGTAATCTAGACTATGTTGTAAAGTTACAATATTTTAAACAAGAACAGAAATACATGCATATACCATAACAAGAATAACTCTCAATTTGCAACCGCACTGTACCACAGACAAGAAACTGTTGGTAACATTCCATTCTTGGAGCCAGACCTTGATCAGGTTTTAGCCCCAGGGCAGGTCTTGGAAGCCCCACCCAACAGCATGGAAGAGGAGGACGGGGAAAGCATGCACTATGGGGACAAAAGATTGCTGTTAACCTCAGATTTTCAAGAACACGAGAAAGGCAGACTGAAAGTGACTCCATGCCCTGGCTGGGCCCACAGACTTGTAGGCCACTCCACAGCTGTGAACCTGGAGGGGCAGTTAGTTCTCCACCAGCCCCCACACTCTGAGCTCCTGGAGGCTCCTGCTGGCTCCTGCCAGCTCTGCCCTGTGTCCACAAGGGAGCCCAGCAAGAACTTGCCGGCCACATCTGGGCCCCACACTGCTCATAGCCTGCCCTAGCATGCAGCCATGCCTAGTTCCCACACAGCCTCTGGGCCAATCTGGCCGCCACCCGCATCGTGCTGTAAAGGCTCTACTCCAAAGCTCTCTGAGCAAGCTGGGGTCCCGAACCCGCTGCGCCTAGGCCCCCGTGATGCTCATGGGCCACCTAGCCCTCTCAGCAGCACCCTGGGTCCCCGAAGTAGCAGCTGTGTAGCTGCTGCCTGCCGGACTCATTGCAAGCTTTCTGCTGCTTGCTGCCTGTGCTCTACTCAGAGAGAGAGCAAGGAAGCAATAGGAGAGTTCGGTTAGTCCGTGCCAGTTCAACCACCAAAGGGGCCTCCATCCCTTCTGCTGGCAATCCGGTCCACAAGTCCCAATGCATACACAAGCTCAGGCATAAAACACTCACACATGTGGCCACAGTTCTCATATATTTATACATTTATATAGATATAACAAATAACACTGACGAACAAGATAGGCAGTCAAAAAGGAAGAACAAGGGCCCTACAGATGGTCCAGGCAGACGAGAGTTCAGAGAGGGAGCCTCGATTATGCCAAAGACCATACGGATGGGACAGGGACAATTCAACAGAGTCTCCCGATCCCCACAAAACAGACAGACCCCTCACGGGCATCCTAACAGACGGACCCCTCTCGGGCGTCCTATGACGGGGGGACCTGTGGGGACCCCCGCGTCCTGATGAGGGGTTGGAACGTCTCCCAACTCCTCCAGGGTCACCTTACAGGCATGTCCGCCAAGGTGAGAGCCTGTCAGATTCAACTGCCGGCTTCAGATAAGAAAATGAAAGTAAAAGGAAAGCAAAGACAAGAAAATGGAGCGCTCTTACCGATCGGTGCAGATGGACCTCCGGAGCTCTTAGGGGTCCCAGCGGGGGCGTCTCTGGGGATCCCGGAGAGCCCCCAAATGTTGTGCCCAGATGTGACCCCCAGAGAGACCACCAAAGACGAGCATGCCAGAATGCAAAAGCAAGGTTTAATTCTGGGATATCCAAATACAAGCCTAGGCAGGGACTTCATCCAATACATCCAACGCAGTGGAGGCTGGAGGAAGCACCCGCCTGTCTGCAAGCTCAGTTTTTAAAGGGAAAAATCACAAGGTTACATCATTTAGGGGTGCTAGTATGGGTACAATTCTGGCTTGCTTCTAGGGACTTTCTAGAAATCATGGCTTAATCTTACTTCTAAGGGAGTGGTTGCCCGCCACCATTTCTCATTGGCTGCCCTGAGGTGGGGGTATTTTTATGGTCAGTTACCCTGGAAACCAGGGAGAGGACATTCCATAGTCCGGCAGGCATTACCTCATGACTACCTTGTGATTCTGTACTTTTACACTTCCTGGTTTCTGGACTCTGAACTGACTGGTTTCAGTAACTAATGGCCTATTCCCAAAAGGAGAAATTTTAGGCCTTAATTTTAGGGTGAAAGCATTATGGTCTTATTTCTAAGATGGCTCATTTTGGTCTCACAGTTGGACTCTCCCCTGAGCTGCCTTGTCCAAGCCTGTGCCAGGGATATAATTCATCCCTAGTGTTTGCTGTGTGACTGTAGAGTTTGGGCTATATAAGACTACTTGCATTTGTGAAAGTATGTCCCTTCCCCAAAGATTAACAGGCAGGCCCGGAACCATAAAAGGAGTGACAGTCCCCTGGTTTCCTTCCTTGTCCTTCCAGGAAAGTGTCCTTGAACTAATTAAAGGATTATTAGACTGACCGATTCCTTTTAAATCAGTGAGGGATGGAACCAGTGGCCAGTGAGACTATAAAATGACTGTGGTATCTGCCCTTATATCCAAGATACCCTGAAACTTCTTTCCCTCTATAGTAAGGGTGAGAGTAGGGCAATCCTGAGTAACAGGCTGGACCCAGTAGGCGTCTGAGGAGCCCAATCCAGCTGACCCTGAGGGGTGTTTGTAATTGAGGGATTATCACAGACAGAGGAGGGTAGAGGAACTAACTGTGCCAAACATGTACCTTGAGGAATCGTGACCATGCGGTTTACAGCAGTGGCCAGAATCTTAATTTCATCTGTGAAATCACTATCTATTATGCCAGGGTAGACCTGAACCCCTCAGAGGGCCGCAGAAGCACAGCCAAGGACAAGCATGCAAACATTAGGAGGTAAGGGCCCTGTCACCCCTGTAGGGATGACCTGAGCCCCTTCAAGGGAGTTTAATACTGTTTTGGCGGTGGCACACAAGTCCAATCCGGCACTGCCTGGAGTTGCTTTCCGGAGGGAGGAGAATGGAACTGGGGCGGGAGAATTTGTTGAGGCTGGGGAGGCAGGAGGTGAGCAGACCTCAAGACCCCAGGGTGCACTCTTGGAGGCATTGGGGCCAGGGGCTGGCCCCTTTGGAAGTTTCCTGGCACCCGTGGAGGAAGGGGCTGACCGAGATAATTGACTTTTGACCTTGCATTCTGTAGCCCAATGATGGCCCTTGTTGCAGCGGGGGCAGAGGGTGGAAGGCAGGGGCCTCATAGAGGCAGCCTCCTGAGCCTGCTGGGCTAAGCGCGCGAGGCTGTGACCTTTCTGAGGACATTCCCTAGCGAAATGTCCGGGTTGTTTACAGAAATAACAGGTGCGGGCTCCAGGCTGTTGTGAAGCCCTGAGGGCGGCACCTATTGCTAATCCCATGGCATGGGCGGCACCAACACCTGAACAGAGTCTCACATATTCAGACAGGTCCGCTCTGTTTTTATGAGGGCAGAAGACTTCCTGGCAGGCAGGGTTTGCATTTTCAAAGGCCAAGTGTTTAACAAAGGTGCTTTCATGTTCGTTCGGCCCAAAAAGTCTCTCAGATGCATCATTTAAGCAAGAGACAAATTCACTAAAAGGTTCATCAGGGCCCTGATGAATTTTTGCCAATGAGGTGGTAGCCGAACTCTTTTGGGGCAGGCGTTTCCAGGCCCGGACCCCCTCATTTTGAATCTGGGCCAGGAGGCCAGGAGGGAATTTTGCCTGTGCTGCATTTGTATCGTAAGGGGGGTTGCCGAGGAGTTTCTTTAGTGTCCAAGTTTTTGAGGACGGCTGTTCAATATTTTTTTGAGCAACTTCTTGACAATTTTCTGTAAATTCTGTTTTCCAGAGGACAAAGTCACCCCCAGAAAGAGCCACACAGGCAAGAAAATACCAGTCATTAGGGGTCAACCAATGTTCGCTCTGGTTTTCCACCAAGGCTAATATAAAAGGAGCTGTAGGACCATACTGAGCACAGGCAGATTTCAGCTTTTCAACAAGGAGGAAATTTAATTTGTGATAAGTCTGTCCTGGTGGGGGGTCCTCTGGTGACGGCTCATTCTCCTCCTCCTCCCCCTCTTCCCCCTCCTCATTTTGATCTTCCAAATCCCCTGAGGGGCCGCTCTGGGCGGCCACCTCAGATGAGTCCCCAGAGGTCTGACTCCTGGTAACAGGAAATGCCAGGACAGGCATTACTAGATTTTTGAGATGGTTTTAGCGGACCAGGAGCCACCACTTCAAGGGCAAGATCTTTAAGTTCTTTGTCAAGAGTTTTCAATTCCCTTAAAAGCTCAACATGTTCCCTGCGAGCGTGGAGGGCCCATCTCAGTGAACCAAGATCTGGGACAGGGGGAGCCAACTCATCAAGAATAGGCCCGCAAAAATCGGAAGATGTAGAAACATAGGGAGGGGACATTGCGGAAGGGGGAACTGCCGGAGATTTTTGAGGTGGTATAAAAGGGCCCAAGGACTCCTGTGTTAAGGGGAGATTTTTGCAGGGGGGGCAGTCTGGATTATGGTAAGAGGCCGCCCCTTTCTCTAGGGAAGCCTCCTCGGTGGAGTCTAGAGGGGAGTTAGAGGTCAAATTAACAGAGGGATGAGGATGGGCAAAAGCAGACTCCTGGGGATTGTTAGATTTAAAAGTCATGAGCATCCCCTCTTCCATAGAGCGCAGGTCGTGAACTGAGGGACAGACTGAAGGCAGACCAGAAAGCGCTCGGGGGGGGGGGGGGTCTTAGGGCAGGTAGAGGGGGAACAAAAGGCTTTTTTGAAGATTTTTTCTCCTGTATTAATAAGCTCTTGTATGTCAGGAATTTTTACAGACCCTAAGAATGTCATTAATAATAATAAAAAAAGGCTTTAAGGTCTTTTTTCTTTACCCTAGTTCCTTGTATCTTGAGGGGCTCATTTAGGCCAGAAATAAATAAATCTCATGACGAAGTTACCTGTCCCATGGCTGGTCACTTTCTTACCTGCATCATCTCCACCCTCCTCCAGGATCGCCTCCTGAACCGGGCGATTTCAGGGGGATCCAACAACTTCACCAAGGCCTTGGTCTTCCTCTGGGAGACGACGTTCCAAATCATCAAGAGGTGGTTTCATCCACGTTGGGCGCCAGTTTGCCCCACCTGCAGGGCTTCAACGGGTTCTCGACCACCCTAAGGATGGAATGATAGAGACAGGAGATACAAGGAAATACACCAAGTCTAGATTCTGATCAAGGTGTAACTTTATTTTTCTCCAAGAGGGTTTATATAGTTCCTGCAGGGTGGGGGGGAGCAAGAAGCTGTCATCTGCATAAGGTGGGGCAAGCTAACAGGATGTTTGTATAGGATGTTTACAGAGTGAAAGGGTCAAGGGCTCTGCCTCAATGTCCTGTTGCTAGGCAACCTGACTGTAAGAATATCTAGTTCCCTGTCTTATCGGGGGTCTGTATTTTTCCACTAACTAGAGATTCTATCCTTGTCCCTGACAAACAAGTAGGACATTTCCTTATAATTCCCTTGGCTTGTTGCCAAGTTATAGAAAAGTCGTTTTTCAAACCTTTTCTATTGACATGGTATTTTATGATATTCTGAGTATTCTAGCACATTTCCTAAAATAATTGATTAATTATTCTTCATTAAATCAAAAATTCTTCATTACCTTGTGCTAGAGCATCTGTCAGACCCATATGGCATCAGATTTTTGTTATATATGGGGGATGATTTCTATTCCTGGTTTTTTTGTAACCGAATAATTAGTAAAGTCAATTTTGTATCATCAATATAAATTCAACAGTTTCAATATGCAAAACAACTCTTTCTGCATATTCAGAGTTAGTAGCTATATTAAAATGTTCTGTAAAATCCATCAATACCATAAGAATAGCATATAATTCTGACTTTTGGCAGAATCAGAAAGGCTTTGAACGAGTTTAGTTAAATTTCCTGATTTATAACCTGCTTTTCTGTTTTTTTGCATCTGTATAAAATGTAGGGGCTCCAGATATTGGTGTTCACCATACAATTTGAGGAAGAACCCAGTTAGTTCTCTTTATAAATTGAATTTTCTTGCTTTGGGGATATTTGTTGTTAATCTCTTCCAAAAATTATTGTGAGCTCTTTGCCAGTGTTCACTTTCTGCCCTTAATCTGTCAATTTAATCATTAGTTAAAGCTACTACAATTTCTGCTGGGTCTATTCCTGCTAATTGATGAAGTCTCAATTTTCCTTTTAAAAATCTACTCAGAGATCTTCTCCATATAAGTGTTTAATTTTTTTAATGTTTATTTTGTAGAACTATCCATTCCAATATAATATCTTCCCTCTGCATTAAAATTCCTGTAGGAGAATGCATAGAGGGTAAAATAACCAATATGCGATCAAGCTCTGGATCCAAATGATCCACATGTGCACCCTGTAATTTCTTTTCCACATAAGTCAATTCTCTCTCAGCTTCAGCTGATAATTCTATTGGACTTCTTAAGTCCTTGTCACCTCTTAAGGTTTTGGAACAAATTACTCAGTGCTTGATTTCTTACTCTAATAGTGTGCCATAGATGAGAAATGTTTCCCAGCAATCTTGGAAAGTCATTAAGAGTCGGCAATTGATCCTTTCTGATTTGCATTTTTGGGGCTCAAATATTTGTAGACCTATTTTAGACCCTAAGTAAGTAATAGAATCTCCTCTTTGTATTTTTTTTTCAGGAGCAATTTGTAATTCCTAACAAGGCAAAATTTTCTTTATTTCTTCAAACATTCTTTCTAAAGTATCTACATTTGAGTCAGCTAGTAAAATATTGTCCATATAATGGTAAACTTTAGATTAAGGCTATTGCTTTTGTATCATTTCCAGTGGCTGACATATAAAATACTGGCACAGGGTGGGGCTATCTAACATTCCCTGTGGGAGACCCTTTCATTGACATCTCTCAACAGGCTGAGAATTATTATCAGTAGGCCATGAAGGCAAATTTTTCTGTGTTTTTCTTGTAAAGGTATAGTGAGGGAACAATCTTTTAAATTAATATTATAAGAGGCCATTCTTTAGGTAACAGTGAAGGCAATGAAATTCCAGGTTCTAGAGAGACCATTGGCTGAGTCACCTTATTTATAGCTCTTAAATCTGTCACCATTCTCCATTTTCCAGATTTCTTTTTAATAACAAATACAGGAGAATTCCAAGGGCTGGTTGTTTCTTTAATATTCTGAGCATTTAACTGCTCCTATACCAGCTGTTCTAAGGCCCGCAGTTTCTCTGTTGTTAAAGGTCATTGCTCAACACATACAGGTTTGTCCATCAACCATTTTAAAGGTAGGGCTGTTGGTGCCTTTGAAAGATCAGCATCCATTGTGCCCTGTTCTTGTATGATTTGAATGGTTGGTGACTATTTGTTATAATATCTTCTAATATTTTCCTCAGAAACAGGTTAATTTATGTTTTGTTTCTGATATTGGAGGAATGTTGATCTGAGTATTCCATTTCTGTAACAAATCACATTCCCATAAATTCATTGCTATGTTAGCCACAGATGGATTTAATATTCCTTTCTTTCTTTCTATCCCTATACATTTGACCCATCTTGCACTTTGTTTTACTTGAGACTAATTGCCAATTCCTAAAAGCTGAACATTTATTTCCTGAAAAGACCCACTTGGTTGGGTGCAATTATTGTTACATCTGCACTTGTGTCTATCAAACCCTCAATTTCTATGCCATTTATTCATATTTTTAACTTTGGTCTTTGATCATTTATAGATGTTTGCCAAAATATTTTTTTTATGGTTTCTCCTGCAAGCATTGTTTTATCTAGTATGAAATAGTTTGTTTTGTGGAAGTTTTTCCCCAATGCTAGCAGAGAGTGATTGAACTACTTTTGATATTGGTGCCTGCAAGTGGCGCCAAAGGGCATTTCCTGAAGATAAAGGGTTACCCTGCCTGTCCCTTTTTGATGTTCATTCATTAGTCCAATGCCAACCTTTGATATACCTTCTGTATACTCCAGAAGCCTGGGGCCTTCTGTTTGAATTATTTCTAGAACAAGCATTGTTTCTAGGAGCACTTTGCCTATACTCCCTTTTCAGATGACCTTGTCTACCACAATTAAAACACCTAACATTTTGATTTTTTTCATATTCTTAGAAAGCAGTGCTCCTATCCAAGTATCATCATTAGAAGTATAGGGGCCAATATTAACTGTATTTCTGCTCCATTTTTCCATGAGTGCTGATCTTGCCTTTAAGGGCCTAATCACCTTTTTTCATTCTGCATTAACTTTTTCAAAAGCCAGAGTTTCAATTAATATTTGTCTAGAATCTGGATCAGATATCATTTTATTTACAGCTGATGTTAATCTGTGTAAAAAAAAATCAGTGAATGCTTCTTCCAGGCCTTGTATAATTTTCATAAATAGTTTCATAAATAGTCCTCTTTTCTGATTCTTAAATCCTGTCCTAAGCACTCAAAGCTGCTGTATTACATAGAATCAGTGTGTTATCATCCAACACACATTGTCATTGCAAATCAGCATACTGACCCTCACCAAGAATTTGGTCTTGGGGAATCCCATGACCTCTAGTCCTACCTCACTGCTCCAGGGCCCTGGCTTCTTCTCTCCACCAGGTTTTCCATTATAATTGAGGACCAGCTACTAATACTGCTGTACCTAAATCCTTCCAGTCTTGTGGAATAATTCTATTCTTAGTTGCCCATGAATTTAACATCTGTCTTACAAAGGGTGAGTGTATACAATATGAAACTACTGCTTTCTTAACTCCCTTTAAGGCTAACATATCTACAAGATTCCAATTAACTTGTGCTTAGCCTTGGGGATACACATCATCTGGTGGTTGTTGTTGAACAGTAAATGGATATATTAAAGTTGGTGTTCTAATAATCTTAGGCAATTTCTCTTCAGTTTCACAATGCAATGGTGTGGCAAATTCTGCTCTAAATTCCTGTCTGTATCTGAGCATTTTTCTTTTTTTTTCATTAGTATATCTTTCCAAGGCCTGCATCCTATTGATCCACTTGTCATATTCAGCACAAAAAAATACCAAGTCTATTATTGATAAGACATTAATTGCCATATTAATAGTAATTATTATCAGTATTTATCAATGTCAAATAAATCATTAATATTCCCAAATTCTCTTTTTAAATTCAAGCCTTCTAAAGTAGCATAATAGAGAGTCCTAGCACCCTGCATTGTT